GCGAGCCTCTCAGGGCTCCTTTCAGAACTGGACGAAGTGGCAGGCAAAGCGCTCCAAACTTAGACCGTGCGGAAAGGGAGCAGAGCAGTTAGCTGGCCAGGATGGGCGCCGGGCAGTCTCTGAGCATTATCTGCGGGAGCGAGGGGCGGGGACACGAGCGGGTCTCGGCGGCGCAGGCTGGCGGCCACCTCGCGCCCCTCCTCGCTACAGTTGGGGCTCGCAGAGGAAGGCGCCTAGCGTTTCCGCCGCGCCGTCGCGCTCCGGGGCATTTATTGCTGTCCCTGAGCGCGCACGTGACGTGAGCGCCCCTCCTCGCCCACCCCATCTCCGCCCAGCCTGGCCGAGGCCCGCCCTGCTTGTCTCCCAGGCGCCCGGTCTTTGAAGGCGTGCTGTGGGCGTCAGAGAGAATGGAGCGGGCCGTCTCGACCAGGGGTAGGTGTGCAAGCAGAGCCGCCAGCTCCTCCCGCCCCTTATGGCATCCCAGCTTTCAAACAGCCTCCTAGTTCGTTCCTAATGAGATGCTAAAAGTCGCTCAAGCCCTTGCAGTTTAGAGCACAGGGTGGGTGTGGGGGTGTTGTTAACACCTTCCGCCTGGGACACACGAAAAGGGACTGGGCAGACAAGGGTGCGTTTCCTTTTGTTTTCTCCAGGGGTCTGCATCTGTTTCCAGAACCTAGTATCTAGAATGGAGAAGCTGTTCTTAGCTTTGTTAAACCTTGATGAGGACCAGATGGGAAGAGGTTTCACAGAAAGATGGGATCTTTGATCCGGGATTGCCTGAAAGTTGAGAGCCCCCAAGGCAGCCATAAAACATGCAGCATTTCTTCCCAAAGTGACCATAACAGTTGTTTTCCCCCCAATGACGTACGTACACATGTACTGACTTGATATACGAGGTATAAGAGGTATCCTCTACTAATTTATCTGTATGAGTTGACAGGAATTTAGTCTCTAGCCCTGGAATAGTGAGATCATCAGTTTCCCTGTTGCCCATGTTGTAATCTGCAGTTGAAAAATTAATTTTAAATTCCTATAAGCACGCCCTACTGAGGGTGGTCCTGCTTCTACAGGCACTTTTTTTGTTTAGAGGTTTATGCTATAGGGCGTGTGCGCTGGTCAGAAAGAGACAGACAGAAAGTGAGAAATCCCCCCTCCAAGGGGGGATGGCCATGCCACAATCCCTTCTCCTCCATTCTCCTCTCGGGATCCTGGGCACGCACAGGCGCCCGGCATGAGTTTAAGCCACCGGGTCCAGGACTCGAACCGTGGTCAACTACATGGGAGTTCAGCGACATAGCCATTACGCCAACTGCTGGTCCTCAGGCACTTTTTTCTAAATTTAAAATATACTTATTTAATTTGCTTCCTTTGTGTAATGAGTAATCTCAATTTTCCTTATTTCTAAATGCTGGAATATATAGCATATGACCAAATAAAGTGTTCTGTTAGTGATTCTCAAATTAGCTCGACTGCTGTTTCTTTCTAACATCCAACTACATTGTATTTATCAAACTTAAAATTCAGACCTAAGCCTGGAGAGAATGTGAAATCTTGCTTCCTCTCACAAAAAGGGAGCCATCACATGCACCAAGGATGCAGAAAGCAAGATTTTTGGTGCACATAACACTTTCACAGAGGGTGAAATTTTACAATTTTATAGCAGCTTAAGCACAAAACAGATTAAGTTGGTATTTTCAAGTAGTCATAATTTTCAATCATAGGGTTTAGAAAACTGGCTTTCTCTCCTAGAACCTGATGGAAGGTACCCCCCCCACAAAAACACTTCCCAAAGTGTTCATAGTAATTACACATACACACACACACACACACACACACACACACGTGCATGTAATTTGTTAACAGTGGATGGAGAACATGCTTCTTTACTGCAATTTTAAGTGATATTAAAAATATACTGAGCATGCAATTAAAAAATATTAAAAATCATAACAATGCTTGAAACACTTTCAAAATATTGCAAATAGGAAAATAGTAGGGGTCAGGAAATGAAGATAAATTCATTGGTAATTCTTGAATATTTCAATGATACAACTTTATACACATGTACAAATTCAACATCTAAAAGCTTACAAGTAAAAAAGACTTATGTGGTTCTAAGGTTTGAATGTCAACCCTTCTCCTTGCAGGTTTTATTTTAATATAAAACAATTGTTAATATGTCCACCATGTCAAATATTAACAACTCAATAACATGAGGTGATGATGGGACCCAGAAATGGTGTATTATCTGTTGACGATAACTTGTATAGTATTCTCAACTGGACTGGTCTGAGAAGTATGTCATGTTGAGGCAACTCTTTTTACAAACCAAGTGATGTACAGCAATTAAACTTTTTAAAAATAATAATAATAATAAAAGTAAAATTTTAAAAACACAAGAGACTTTCAAAAAGCTTACGGGAGAATGGAGTGAAAGTTTTTTTTGCTGCAAAAAATTTAAAAATCCATGAGTAGTTTTTTGGGGTTTTTTTTGGCATTACATGTTTTCCATGAGCTTTTTGAAGTCCTTGCATACATGGTGTCACCCTGATTTGGGATATATGTGGGAAAAGCCATTTTAAAGAGTAATATCAAACAATAGTACTGAATACTCGAAGGTGATATTGTTCAAATTTTTATTTCTGGTTGAGAAATCTGTGTGTAGACAGCACACAAAAGTCATGTAAAAATGACCGTTTGGTTTGTGGCAAAGGCTGTTACTTGTAAAACCATGGTAGCTTTTAGCATTACTACTTGTGGCAGACATGGTTGGTTGCCTAACCGACAGACAGCCAGGCTTCTACTTTCTTACTTCCAAGCCAATAACCTCCAATTTATGGATGATACCCACCCTTTCACACACTGTCAAACTGGCATTCTCAGAGGTGAGTGTTGATTAGTGAAAGCCAGTCATCGTAATCTAGTCCTGCTAGTAGATAAGGGTTTAGTGTCACACAACTTCATTCTGCCCTGGCCACATGAAAACTGGAGGTGAGGAGGAAGATTGGCAAGGGTGACTTTTGTTGTCATTTTTTTTGTTTCTACTTTTAAGTGATAAAAAGAGATGCAAAACAAACAAAAAAAGATCTTGTGAGATTTAAAAATGCAGTTGTTACTGTGCAAAGACAAGACAATCCTGAAAGCAAAGACCTTTCTTTTTGGCCAAGCGAAAAAACAGACAGTGCCCGAGTCTCCCTGCCATTGACCAATCAATGGAATAACTATCCTCCATTTTTCTTGCTATAAAATCAACAATTAATAAATTGATTGCTTGAGTCACACTGACCTGGGTGTTCATTACGTGCAACTCAAACTATTCTAACAGATATTTCTGCAAAGAAATTCCCTTCTTTGGCCATGTCACGTTTTCTCCATGCTGCCGTTATTTTCTATTTATGTGCATCATTAGGAGCTATTCTTATATGTTTTCCTATCCCTGCGCTTGCAAAAGTGGATACATATTCACCTCTAGGCATTTCACTCACTGTATAGTTTTAGACATCACTGTTCTATCAAAATGTCATTGGTCAATCCATCTCCCATTGGGGAAGCATCAGAATAGAATTTGTCCTGTGTTTTTGGGAGGTGGAATCAGTGTAGCACAGTATTTTACATCACAGAATTAAACTTGAGCAGCTTCAAGTGTTGTCATTGTGTACTAGAATGTGTTATATGAAAGCACTTAAGACAGTAACAGGTAAGTAGGAAATACTCAATAAAGGTTAGATATTACTAAAATAACTGAACTGGAAGATTTGTATTTTCTATTCTATAAACTTAGTGGGCTTTAATCAAAATGCTGTGTAATTTTGAAGTATAAATTTTAATTTAAGTAGAAGTAACTGACTATACACTTGATAAAAATCACCTATAATGTTTTTTTGGCAAGGTGTGGTGAATTTTTTCTCAGCTGAAACAGTATTCAATTCTGTTTA